CAAGGGTGTTATACCAGGTCCTATAAAAGGCAAGATGAATTCTATCTAAGGGTTCAGAGGATGCATAAGACAAACAATTGAATATTCTATATTTTAAAAATAATTTTTATTTAAATTTGAAACTAGCTTGTTTTACATATTGATCCCAGTTCCCGAACCCTCCTGTCCTCTCCTGTTCCCCTCACCAACCTTCATCCCATCCCTTTTCTGCTCGCCAGGGAGGGTGAGGCCTTCTATGAGGAGTCTTCAAAGTCTGTCATATCATTTGGGGAAGGTCCCTGGCCTCTCCCATGTATCTAGGCTGAGAGAGTATCCCTCTATGTGGGATGGGCTCCCACAGTCCATTCATACACTAGGGATAAATACTGGTCCACTACCAGAGGCCCCATTGACTGCCCAGTCCTCCCAACCAACACCACATTCAGGGAATCTGGGCCAATCCTATGCTGGTTTCCAAGCTATCAGACTGGAGTCCATGAGCTAGCTCCACCTTGTTCATGGAAAAACAAAAACCCAGGATAGCCAAAACAACCCTGTACAATAAAGGAACTTCCAGAGGCATAGCCATGCCTGACTTCAAGTTCTATTATAGAGCTATAGTAATGAAAGCAGCTTTGTATTAGCACAATACAGGTAGACCAATGGAATTGAATCGAAAATCCTGATATTAATCCACACATATGAACACCTGGTTTTTGACAAAGAAACTAAAATCATACAATGGAAAAAGAAAACATTTTCAACAAATGGTGCTGGCATAACTGGATGCTGGTGTGTAGAAGATTGCAGACAGATACATATATATCACCATGCACAAAACTTAAGTCCAAATGGATCAAAGACCTCTACATAAATCTAGCCACACTGAACCTCTTAAAAGAGAAAATGGGAAGTACTCTTGAATGAATTGATACAGGAGATTGCTTCCTGAACATAATGAGTAGCACAGAAACTAGGATCAACAATTAATAAATGGGTCCCCCTGAAATTGAGACACTTCTGTAAGGCAAAGGATACAGTCAACAAGACAAAATGACAGCCCACAGAATGGGAAAAGATATTCACCAACTCTACATCTGACAGAGGATGGACTTTCAAAATATACAAAGAACTCAAGAAGCTAGTTACCAAAACACCAAATAATCCAATTAAAAAGTGGGGTATAGGACTAAATAGAGAATTCTCAATAGAAGAATCTAAAATGACTGAAAGATAAGAGCTCAACATCCTTAACCATCAGAGAAATGCAAATCAAAACAACTCTGAGTACCATCTTACTTCTGTTAGAATGGCTAAAATCCATAAAACCAAAGACAGTTTATGCTTGAGAGGATGTGGAGATAGGGGAACACTCCTGCACTGCTGGTGAGAGGGCAAACTTGTACAGCCACTTTGGAAATCAGTATGGCAGTTCCTCAGGAAAATGGGAATCAGTCTACCACAAGATCCAGCAATTCCACTCTTAGGCATATACCCTAAAATGTGCATTCATACAACAAGGACATCTGTTCATCTATGTTCATAGCAGTATTATTTGTAATAGCCTGAACCTGGAAGCAACCTAGATGCCCTTCAACTGAAGAATGGATGGAGAAAATGTGGTATATTTACACAATGAAGTACTACTCAGCAGAAAAAAAAAAACAATGGAATCTTGAAATTTGCCATCAAATGGATGGAACCAGAAGAAAACATCCTTAGTGAGGTAACCCACTCAAGAAACAAACATGGTATGTACTCACTCATATATGGAATGGATTTTAGACATAGAGCAAAGGATTACAAATCTACAATCCACACCATCAGAGAAGCTAGGAAACAAGGAGGTCCCTAATAGTAATCCATGGGACCCGGAAAAGGGAAAGGGACAAGATCTCCTGAGCGAATTAGGAGCATGGTGGGAGGTGAGAGGGAGGTAGCAGAAAGAGGAGGGGAGATGAGAACATGACAGAGCAGGAAAATTTAGTTGGGGGTAGAATAGAGGAGAGTAAGAAAAGAGATAGACAGAGAACAAATCCCAAACCAGTTCATATCACAGATGTATTAGTGGTGGTAGATGTTTGCACATCCATGTCTTACACAGCTCAGACCAGAAAAAAAAATCCCAGCTGAGCATCCTACAAAGAACTATGTGAGTCATGAACAAAACAAAGACTGCTTCAACATCAAACTATGGAATATTTATTATTACAAAAAGTACATGTAATACAATATAAGTAAATACATCTAATTTGTATAGTTTACTAAATAGAACTCAAATAATATAAAATAAAAAACCGAGGAGATATTTGGAAGATAGGTTTTTCTCAATTGTGAATAGATAGGAGGAGGTATCAATTCAGATGCTTCTCTTAGTTTATGCTCAGTGTTTTGATTCATTTGTTGAATAATGTCAATATTTTGAGAAAGAGTTGTCAGAGGCATACTGTGACAATAAATAAAAAAGAAGTAATATGTGATTACAGAGACTCTAGCCTCTAATGAAACAAACAAACAAAAAAATACGGACAGCTAGCTAAACAAGTTGATCCAGATGGGGTGTCAGACAGCTGGTTCATTGTCCCTGTGGCTTTTAATGGCCTTGCATCAAGAGGTTGTTCCATAGTCACTGTTGAATGAAAAATATGTTATTTTAGTACAAATATCCTCTCAGACACTAGACATATCTCAGTTCTTATTGAAATAAATTCTAAAGAGTTTCTAAAACAATTAGACAAATACCATTAAGCAAGGAAACATAAGGAATATGAAGATGAAAGGACTAAAGATGTATGACTTCCAGTTCTATATATCACCACCATTTTAGATGGTGAATTATAAACTGGTAGCTATTTGTAGACTCCTGGGTATGTATGTATGACGTTACCTGCTGACTTCAAAGAAATTTACTACACTCAGTGTATTATTTTGGGAACTCATTGTGTAATATGTCTTATGTAAACCATGTAGTAAGTGCAATTTTTCACATTTAATCTATATTTGAGAGAAGCAAGTAGGGTGACTGAATATTTCAAAGTAGCAACACAGAAAATAGTGGTTCAGGACTTTGCTCCTTAGAATGTTTGACGTTTCGATTAAGTGATATTTTTTTTTCTTGAAGATCCTAGTTCTTTCATTCATTTCAAAGAGCTCTGCCATCTGTGTAATCCCATGGACCACCAGGAGGTAAACAGATAGCACATGAGCTTGAGTACAGTGACCAAGTCACTGGGCATATTGATTATGCACTTGCTTAGACTCCATTTTCAGTTCTGATTGAACGAAGTTCCCAAATTTAATTATCACATGGTATATTCTCATGATTCTGTCATTTGATTAGCAGCTACCAGGAGTTTTGAATGTTTTAGTGAAGACTCATACTTTTCATTTCCTTCTGTCTTAGTTTTTCTGTCTACTCTTCATGTAGAAAGATGCTGTCAGAATCACAAACCTACAGTGACTGCAATCTATTCTTCCACTGATTTACTCTGACATCTTGTGTACAACACAAAACCTTACCAAAGTTGTTCTTAATTTGCAGAGGTAAGATTTTGGCAGTTGTGGCTTTTCCTAAATTTTATAAAACATTTAATGCTTACTGTAGTACACTCTTGTACCTATTATGGTAAACATGTTCCCATGCAGCTTATGCTTCCCTACATGGAGTATAGTGTTTGAGGCATGCTATATGTTTGTAAATGTTTCCAATGATATTTTAGTAATTATTTGAAAGAAAACATGCCAAAATATGTAACATAGTTTTTATGTTTTTGTTGGGATTAAAAGATTAATACCACATGAAAAATTTTCATGTTGCATCATGACAAATATTTCATATGTAAGAATAAACACTCTCAATGCAATTATTGGCCAGGAAAGGAGAGCTCAGACTCATGTGAAGTTCAATGAAGAAGCTGACAGGGTGATGTGAGGCAGAGGTGAGTTCACAGGTCATGTCCATTGTGCCCCCTGTCATCATCCAGTAAGTAGTGTCTTTGCTTCAACGAATGGAAAATCTAAGAATGTATTTTCCTCTCAGGCTTGTCTTCTATAAATCAATAAAAACTAAATGGGTACTATTTTTCTCTAAAAGAGAAATTATACAGTATTCTGTACTGTACTGGTTCTTGCAATTACAGAAAGGTTTTGAAAGTATTATTTATATTCCCTGGAATTACTTTGGCCACAGGGAAAAATAACCCCAAATGATTCTTACCAGAACTGGGGCAGAGAGCTCATCATCTTCACAAATGTCCATGAGGGTCCTTGCAAAATGCCCAGTGTTTGGGGCTGGCGTGTCCAGACGGACATAGTCAGGGCCTCGCCGAAAAATCCAATTTATCAAAGAGCATCTTCTTCTAACAGTTTTCTTTGAATCTGAGGAAGATTAGAGATCGTTACTTGCATTAGTTTGATGATTTCCCAGCATGGGAATATAATGCTTGCTTAAATAAGCTGCATATACCAAATAATTTAAAGATGAACAGAAAGGGCATGGTATAGGAGATGTGTGAAATTTCACCAAATACCATACTACTGGTCACTTGTCTGTTCTGTATTTGCCCCTAACATGAACTCCACTTACTGTTCAAGGTACTAGATGTGATCCTGACTCTGGTAACCAATACTAAGTCAGTTTCTCAAGCTCAAGTATGTTTCCCTTGGAATAGACTTAGAAGTCAGAAAATTAGTAATGGGTAATGGGGAGAAAATTCCAGGCATGGGATATCAAACACAGTGATATAAAGGGGGGGGGGAAGAGATATGAAAAGATATTAAATGATGTGGAAGTGAGAAGGCAGCATAGAAGGGTGAATACTAGGAGTATAACTAACATTAAAATGCTGCGTTGAAAAGCCATCTGCAAGCCAACTGTTGGAGAAGCTGCCTAAATATATACATATACATATGTAAAAAGAGTAGAAGGGGAGATATCCACTAACAGGTGGAAAATGGAAACAGAAGAATTTAAGAACCTGTGAACTTAAAACCTTGAAGGAATGTAAGAGACTCACTTCTCTGGTCCTTGGGTGGGTCCTTGGGCTTCAGGATAAATACTCCTGGATTATGTGGGGACTGCAGCTCCTTGATTGCCTTGTTGATGTCAAGATAATCAGTGTAATCCCTTGGCCCCACTGCCACATAGGTAGAATTTCGAAGATCACTCATTCTGATGGCATATGGATTCTCATGTCCTAAGTAGAGAAATACTAAATATAGATTAATGCTCACAGTGATCAGAGTGATCAACAGACCTTTTGGAGGGCACGAGCACACTGTGAAATGGCTCCTGGAGTCAGCAGGAAAGAAACTCTAGCGAAACAGGTTTACAAACATGGACTTTAAATGTTTAGAGGATAAAATTCCAACTGGTTGTCTTGCTACACATCATGAACACTGGAGATCTATAGAGCCTTCTAGCTCTAGATTAACCATTTAGTCATGTGTCCTCCTCATGTCAAGTGTTACCATGAAAAAGAGAATATGAACTTGTTGGTCCCTATAACTGCAATAATTTAACAATCCTTCAGAAGAGCTCTGGTCAGTATTGTCTGTACTGTGATTCCTGACAGATTTACAGAGACAGCTCAGTTCCCTTTGTTAAGTTCTGAAGCTGGCCTTCTCTAGTGTAGTGGACTGGGTTTCCTTATGCTTTCCTTCCCCTGTTTCCAGCAGACAACAAACAGGGGTGATCAACAGAATACAAGAAACACAGCCCCTGCAACGCTACATTTACAAGACAGAAGACCGCACACTGTCTTGTCTGTCACCATTTCCATGTATAATTCTTCCTTTGTTGTTTCATGCGTGTAATCACTTCCTTGGCAAAAAATTCTCAAATGTCCTGTTGTCAAAATAGCTTTCGCTTTTTACTGGAAGTCTCTTTCCTCCTTTCTCAATACTCACTGATGATAACTGGAAGCTCTTGCTTTTCCCTTCCTGGTAGCATAGATGCAATGCATTTGGGACAAAAACTACAGCAGCAATGTTTTTCAGCAGCCATAATCAGAGTCCAGGAAGCTAATATAGGACAGATGCAGTAACATGTACACATGTGGCAGGATAACGGAAAAAGGAACATGAGTACTGTATGTGTGTTTGTATTCAAAAGAAGCCTGTGCTGGTTGGAAACAGGCTGCAGTCATTTGGGAAGAAGGATTCTCAGTTGACAAATAGTCTCAATAATCTGCCCTGAAGGCAATTCTGTGATTCAATTTTTAAATAGTGATAATCTGTGAGCTGCAGGGTTTGGTGCCGGGAACACTTCATAGGGGCTCTGAGTGAATGAAGGAAAGACTGACACAGACATACTAAAATTTGGGAATTTTCTGACCTTCCATGACTCAGAACCTCAGGATGTTTATTAGGTATAGCACAGGGGTGGGGCTTAGTTATTCTCCCAGGAGGCCTCTGTAGGTGACCACTTTCAAGCTGCAAACACATCACAGGAGGAAGTTGCAGTTGCTAGTCTTGCACATCCTGGTCAATCTTTTATAACTACTCATAACAGACTCCCAAGGAGATCTGTGCATTTCTCTTGATCCTGTCCATAGAGGGAGTCAGCTCTGCGAAATATGTCATGTGTCCAAGTCTTTGAAATCCCCAACATTGTCATGGCCTTGTCAAGATACACACTCAGGACTTCCCTCATTCAGGGTTTCTTCTGCTCCCTACACAGATTGATGTTGGAGGGTCCATCCAATGTGGATGGTCATCCTTTGGGCTGATAGTCTTTGATGCTTTTTTGCTATAAGAAAGACTGAGCAAAGCAATGCAGACCACACAAGTGAACAATAATCTTCCATGGTGTCTGCCTCAGCTCCTGCCTCCAGGCAACACCTAGTTTGAGATCTTTCTGACTTTCTCAGCAGTGGACTGACTGTTAAGAGGAAAATGAAAGACGCTTTCTTCTCCAAGTTGATTTTGGTCATGGTGTTTTGTCACAGCAATATATATCCTATCTAAAACAGAGCCACCATGATTGACATGTTATAAGGAAACCTCGAGCCAGACATAGTGTGCAATGACTTTCTGTGTCTTGATGTTAAGATGATATTTTATAAAGTTAATAAACATATTAAAGTAAATTAAAATCGAACATAGTTCCTGTTTCTGCTCTCTCCCTGTGTATGTATTGGGTACAACTTGTATTTTTATATTGATCAGATATTGTTGCACGCAGAGATCTTACTGCATGTAACAATTTAGTGGCAGTCAGAGACTTTTTTGTATGGTCCACACCTCCAATTGGTATATCTATATTGCAATTTCTATACCTAAGTTTAGGTATCTTCCTGAGAGAGTAGGAATAAAGCTTATGAGAGTTGGAGAATCAGGATCCTGTGTTCAGTGTATGTGAGGAAAGTTGCAAACATGAATCTCAACAATATAATTGCCTAAATGAGTCTTAAAAAATGACGGCATCAGTTGAAATGCCATCATAGATGGGGTAAATCTCACAAGTACCCACACTTAGATGGAGAGCTAAAGACAGTCAGGGGCTGCTTAGAGGGAGAATCAGACTTCCCTAGGGATGAACCATCTCATCTTGAAACACACGCCCATATGAGCAACACTAAATATCCTCTTTCTCCCAGTCACAACACACACACACACACACACACACACACACACACACACACACACACAACAAAGCGATGAAAATGAGGTAAATACATTATTCATGTATGAAGTTCTCAAATGGATATAAATTTAAACAATTTACATCATATGCTTGGATGAGGGCAAGGCTCACTAAGAATTGTAAATATTGTTTAAATTGATGAAAGAACATTTCATGTCATGTTTACATTCATGAGTATTTAAGTTAAAGAAAATCAATGAAAACTTTAGCAGTTTGGAATTAGGATTGTTTTAAACCACTCAGTGTCTCTTAGGTTACTCAGATGCTTACCCAGGAGTGGGCCTGGTGATTCTTCCTCCATAGAAGAGAACCACAGTTGATAATCTTCCTCAGCATTCTGGAAAGCAGAAGAACCAAAAGTCATATTGTACTTTTCCCAGTACACAGTTGAAGTGCATGTTTTCTTTTCTCTTCTTTATCTCTAAAACTGAAATATATTGAGGAAGACGAGAATTCTAGTCTATGTATTAGGAGGCTGCTATTGGAAATTAGCAGTGGTGAGTTCCATGGTCCCTGCTCCCTATGAGAATATGCAGAGAAATGAAGTTCCTGCCTTCTCACTTCTGGTAGAACAGAATTGCTGATGCAACTTGTGTTTTTTCTGCCACATTTTTTTGTGACACTGGAAATAATAAATCGTTCCAGCCCATTGCCCCAAGCAAGAAAAGTGTCTATTTCATCTGTGTACTTATAGGCTTTGGAGAATTTTGAGCTGTGCCATGACATGTTCCTGTCCAGGCAACCTATTAGCGCAGTGCCACATGCCCACCATGTCTATGATGACTGAGCAAAGCTAAACTTAGCAGCCTTGGGACCTCAACAAACAAGGTACAGGAGCCAAGGTCTAGAAAAGCCTTGAGGAGACCAGACCATGAAGTCAGCATTTGACCTTCATTCAGAGAATCCCTGAAGTAGAAAACCCAGAAGTAGAAAACAAGATCCACAACAGGTTTACAGCCTAAAGCTCTGGGATCCATTTAAAACAAGCCAATGTAAATTATGTAGCATCTATTGAATTATTTTAGAATCCACATGAGATACCAAAAAAAAAAAACTACATTAAGTAGAGTTATGGCTTATTAAGAACTTGTTTACTTTTGACTCATGATGGAAAATAATGACCTTTAATTGTAGAGTGAGATCCCATTAATGATATTATGATAATAAATGTAGTTTTATGCATAGATGTGTACTCACACACAAACACACATACTAAAATTGAATGAATGAATAAATGACCTATATTCAGGGTTATTTTCCAAGTATGTTTCCCTTTTTACTAATAATTTCAGGTATCATCACTTAGATTCTTGGTACAAGTATTCAGAGGATATAGCTCTAGCGATATATTCTGGTTGAAATTATGTCTAACCTGTCATTCTATAATTGTTAATTTTAGACTTTGTCCTTAATATTAAATCAGTATCAAAAAAGTCTACATGACGAAAAGATATAAGAAAATGGAACCAAAATATATCTAGTGATTTATATTAGCAACTTTGTCATGTTCATTGGGTGTACACACACATATACAAATATTTCATTAGTGTTCATTTTCATATGCAATATGTTTATAATATGTGTATACACATACACATTTACATGCATTTTCATGTAAAACACACTGTTTATTGTAGCATAGTGGTACAAATTCACTCCACATGGTGATCACTGATATCAAATTTCACTGGAGAATACAAGAGGAAAGGCCATATATACACAAATGTAACTTGTCACCTGACTTCTGAAAGTTGGAGAAAGATTAAAATTTTTCATACATAGAGTATTATGTGTATGGTAGTGACGTTTTTATGCTTATGTAAATATTAATAGATTACAAAATGATATGGAATAAAGAGTTTTCAAGTCTCGTACAGGTATTCCCAGCAATGGTCGTAACTTTTTGATGATATCGTTCACTGTGTCCAGTCGTGCTGCATTAACAGTGAATGACTGTAGAAAACACAAAGAAAAATGTTACTGATTGTTAATGTTCATGAAACCGCTTAACTGATAGCTATTTATACAAACATTTTCTCCATCCATCATGTAACCAAAGCTCAGTTAGGTAATGGTAAAGTAATACACATATAAGGCTAGAAACATGAGTGTGAATGTCCTTTCCTGTATATAACCCAAGAACAGTAATAGGGACTTTAGTTTAATATTTATATCTTTAAGGATTCAGATAAGTCAAATTATAAGAGGTGTACTGGTGAACTGAATTATGGGGGCATGGTAAACAAACTTGCTTTCCCAAAGCCATGTAACAAAAAATAGAGTGTCAGAATATACATGGTAGGAAGAGAGAAGCAATTGTGGCACACACATACACAAGCATACATGAATACATGCACACAAGTACACATATAAAGGTTGAACAGTGAGAATATATTTTTAAAAGAGACACAGCCTCTGATCTGGAGCTGAGCTGCTTTCTCAATGGGAGGACAGTCATTTGAAGAGACGGGGAAACATTTCCTTGTTTTCACACAATGTGCTTATGAAACTGATTCATTTCATTACATACCATGTATTCATTTCTCATAAACTCATGAACTTCCACAGAATTTAAAACAGCAATACTACGCAGTGAGGATTTCTCTGCACCTGGCTTCATAGTTAGTTTGGTTGGCCCTGGAATCTATTGAGATGATGAATGTGTGAATCCAGAATGAAAATTTCAGCCATTAAAGTTCTATGGTAGGAAGTATCTACTAAACTTTATGATTAAAAACTGTCCACAGAAAGACAAAGATATGTCCTGAACATTGCAATTCTCAGTGAACAAGCAAGCTAACTATGCTTACAGACTTTGAATGCAGGTGGATCTGCACTTGCAGATGTATCCTCTGGAAAACAGCTCTTAGAGAAGAAAAACAGCAGAATCAACCCTCTCTATAAACAGTGAACAATGTTAAAGGGAAATCCTTTAAGAAAGTAGTTAACTGACATTAATTTTGTGACAATGAACATGCTGCACACCACAGGCTAAAAAATAAAACTTCTACACCGAAGAATCAACTTCTATTGCAATTGTACAGGAGGGGTCCATACACACTGAAATATTAGGTTATTGTTATTACTTTGGTTATTATTCAGAAATGAATGGCAAATCCCTAAGGCTGAAGACACTATATAGTTAAGTCATGCAACAGAAGTGAAATGAAGCTTTAATTGACTTAGAAATCCATGTTTAATGTCTAATTCCAATAATACTTAGGTTTTGGATACATGCTTCTGGATGACAATAGCAATCTTCAGTGTAATCAAGCTGTGGACTCTGTAATCCACAATAATGACTATCCTGGCAAGACAGGCCGCTGGTGCAACCATATCTAAATAAAATTGACTTCATAAGAGAACAAGGTGATTTTCTACACACACACACACAGACACACACACACACACAAATGACAAGCATAAAAGAATTTGCCACAATTGAAATCAAGCAGGCAGGAAAGTGTTTTTCTTCAGGATTGTCTGCTCACCCTGGCTTTCCCAGCTTTCTGTTACAAACTCAGGTGAGAGCCTTCTCGCTATTGGACAGGATACCCTTTCACTTTCCCATTTGTCTCCTTCATTGCTATGTTGTCTAGTTTAGAGAGCTTGCATTGAAGTAAGTGCATAGATTGTTTTACATATTTTGTTCACCATAAATATAATAGTTATAACATCACACTTTAAAAATTTACAACCTCAATTCATTGCATTTGTATACAAAAATCAAGAACAAACCATTCCCTTTATAGTAACCATAGCTCTCAACTCAATAGCTACTGATGGTCTCAGAAAAACAATGACTTCCATATTACTGAATCTTATAGAACAGATAAATGCAAAACCTGACCCACCAGTGGTCTCTTCTTTGGAAATACAATAGTGCTGGTGTAATGGATGGCAAATGGAATTTGAATGGGAAATTGAATTGCATAATAGAGGTATACCTCTGTAGATGGGTGACCATCTATCATGTGAATGCCTGTGTTTATTTTTAACACTACTCACACACTTCACACACAAAGTACAGGCACACAAAAAATCCCCCAACAAAATCAAATGTTACTTTTAAGTTTGCAGATGAAATTTATAAAATATAATTATAAAATATAATTTTCTTATGCTTGAAAGATGAATAAGCAAGTAAGATAAGAGAGCCACTCTGCACTTAACAGATCACACACACATGCACACACACACTCACACACGAGTATTAACAAGAGGTTAGTAACATAGAGTACATGTCATTCTTGTTGTTTTTAAACTTCTATATATGCATATAACTATGCTCACATAAATTTAAAAGTAAATATTATTTAAAAGATGGAAGGAACATATAATTGGTACCTATAGGAGCAATGACAAGTGATATAAACTCGTAATTACAATGAGAAATATCTGCAAGGGTCTTTTATTGCTACACTTCTGTCAGTTTGAGTCACCAGACACAACATTGTTAAGCATAGTGTACTTTAGCTAATATGGATCAGTCCTGTAACTGGAACTGGTTTTTATTGGCAAAGGCAAATTTGTATGCATGAAAATATTTTTCTGGTAGTACTACATAAATGTTGTCTCCTTCTTCTATGTCATCCTGTTCTCAGTTTTCAACTTTATCTTTAAATTTCCTCCTGTTTCCCTTCCCTTGCCCTTTCACTCCCTCAGTCAGTTGCACGCAATAAAATATTGGTCTTTTGTGTACATACAGTATTCCAGCTTGGGATGTCCTCCGTGAGAATCTCAAGCGTGATACTCTTTCCACTGTCTTTCTGCTTATGTTCATCAATGGACCTGGTCAAATTCAATAAAAACACACATAAAATGAAATTGTCCAGTTGCTTCTTTTCATGTTAGTAAATGATATTGTATCAAAATTTTAATTTTAAAGTTACTCAGTAAGAACTTTTGGAATACACTGCCCTTTCTAGGAGATCTCAATGTGCTCTAAACTGACAATTTGGAATCAGATTTTGTTCTGAAGACTTTAGTCCCACCATTAGAGGGATCATGATCATACTAAGTTCAAAGACAAGAAGCAATATTTCCTTTGAGTATGCATAGTAAAGCAACTTGTATTGATAATGAATTAATATTCTCTTCCAGAATATTGTTTGATCCAACATACAAGTTGGTGAATGGATGTATGAAAATGGCAGGTAGCACTTCCCCCAAGTTGGAAAAATGAAAAACTCCAAAAACATCCAGGAAACATTAGCAAGAAGATACTTAGAGATGTTCTAATCCTGATGTCAAAATGAAACAAACAACAATCTCTGATGTATATACATGCCACAATTATTAATAAAATACTTATAATCAAAATTCAGTAATACAGATTTTGCATTAAGGTCAAGTTAGCTTCATCCCAGAGATAAATGAAAGGGTCTACATATGTACATTAAAAAATGTAAACCAATACATACATGGACTAAAGTATAGAAAGATGATCACCACATTTGATTCACAAATGGCCTTTGACAAAATACGTCATTTATTCATGATAAATTTCTTAGAGGGAACAGGGATAGAGGAGATATATGTCAACATAATAAAGGCAATATAAAGGGAACCCACAGTCAAAGTCATCCTAAAAAAATATATAAAACTCACAATGTCTCTGCTAAAATCGAGAGCAAGACAAGTTCATTCTTCTCACCTCTAAAAATATTAGCAAGGGCAATAAAGCAAGTGAAGGAGATGAAGCAGATACAACGGGAAAGGATGAAGTCAAGATATGTTTATTTCCAGATGATACAATTCTATGCAGGAAAATCTAGAGAACACAACACACAGACACACACACAGACACACACACAGACACACACACACACACACACACACACACACACACACACACACACAAATTCCTGGAGCTGATAAGTTTTCTGAAAAGTAACAGGACACAAAACACAACAATATCTTTCTTATATAAAAATGACAAACATGGACCCCCCATCGCCAGGCCTCTGCAGGAGACCAGGCATCTCATGGAGCACAGGGCCTCTGCCAGAAACTCACCTATCAAGGTGGGTCCCCCTGAGTCCCTGCCCGCCTGATCTTTGACTCCCATCAATGAGCCCCTGTCTGAAGAGAGACCTCCCAGAGAGTTTGGACCACCCATAGCTACAGACATCGAACTTATGACCCATCTAAGCTCACTGGGGGAGCAGCATAGAGACATACCCCAATTGTACCTACTGGAAGAAGCAATGGGAAGATGGCAATACAAGAAAACACCTAACAAGACAAGCATGACACCACCAGAATCTAGGGACTCTACACAAACATAGATTGGCTAAAATGAGGAACACCAATGACAACTTAAGCTGGAGAGAATGTGGAGAAAGGGGAACACTCCTCCACTGCTGGTGGGAGTGCAAACTCGTACAGCCATTTTGGAGATCAGTATGGCGGTTCCTCAGGAAAATCACTATAGGTCTACCACAGTAATCCTACTCTTTGGCATAATCCCAAATGGTCCACATCCATGCAACAAAGACATCTCTTCAACTATGTTTGTAGCAGCATTATTTGTAATAGCAAGAACCTGGAATTAACCTAGATGTCCCTCAACTGAAGAATGGATAAAGAAGATGTGGCACATTTACACAATGGAATACTACTCTGAGGAAAACAAACACAAAAACAAAAACAAAATAAAAAAAAAACCAAAAAAATAAGCAAAACCCAAAACACTGGAATCTTGAAATTACCAGGCAAATGGATGTAACTTGAAGAAACCATCCTGAATGAGGTAACCTAGTCACAAAAAGAGGAACATGGTATGTACTCACTCATATATGGATTTTAGACATATGCTAAATATGACATATAGACACCAGCCTATAATTCACACTGCCAGAGAAACTAGGATACAAGGAGGAATCTAAGAGAATCATACAAGGTCCCTCACAGAAGGGGAAAAACCAGATAGCCTGAGCATATTGAGAGTGGGTGGGGGGGCAGTGAGTGGAGTGGGGCCTAAGAGAAAGAGAAGGAGAGGAGAGGAAAGCACTTGGTTAGGAAGATTGAGTCAGGGGAGGAATAGGTGAGAAAGAGAGAGAGAGAGAGATGCCATAAGAGGGAGCCATTATATGTTTGAAGAGAAAACTGACTCTAGAGAAATGTTCAGAGACTTACAAGACTGACCCCAACTAACAATTTGAGCAACAGTGGAAAGGCTACCATAAATGCCGCTCTCTGAAAATGAGATTAATGGCTAACTCATCTGCCATTATAGAGCCCTCATCTAGTAGCTGATGGAAATATTAGCAAACACCCACAGCTAAACACTGAGCCAAACTAGAATCCAGATGATGAGAGGGAGGACAAGACCAGGCTACATAAACATACAGAAACAGCTGACCTGAACAAGGAGGAGCTAATGGGCCCCTAGACTGATAGCTTGGAATCCAGCATTTGACTGACTCAGACCCCCTGAACATGGGTCTCAGTTAGAAGGCCCGGGCAGTCTAAGGGACCTCTGACAGTAGAACCAGGATATATCCCTGGTGCACAAAAGGACTTTGGGAGCACATTCCCCATGGAGGGATACTCCATTAAATTGGAGGCAGGTGGGAGGGCCTAATCCCTACTCCAAATGACTTGACAGATTTAGATGACCCTTCCAGGAAGGCATCACCCTACATGTGGAGTGGGGGGTGGGTGGGAGGGTGGTGGGGGAGGCAAGGGAGGGTGGAAAGAGGGAGGGAGGGATTCAGAGGGAACTGGGATTAATATGCCAAATAGGAAAAATAAATAAATAAAATTTTAAAAAATGACAAACACAAGAGATGAAGAACACAGTTGCATCCTTAGTAATCACATAAGACCAAACAAAACTTTAATAGATGTGACCAAAGAACTGATAGATTTGTGAATGAAACCTTTAAAAATCTGAAAAATGTATATGATGCCAGCACATGGAAGACATCCCATGCTAACGGATTGGCAGGATTAACACTGTGAAAATGGCTGTGCATCATGTTTGCAATGCATTTGCCTTCTAAATTCCAAGAAAAAAATTCACAGGTACTAAAAATCCCTTTGTAAGTTTATATGGAATACAAATGACTGAGGATATACAGAACAAAAAAATATTAACATCAAACATGATGGGGGCATCCCCATAACAGATTTCAAGTTATGCTGCAGTACAATAATCCATACAATATTGCACTGTTATAAAAAGTCACTTATCAAATGAATAGAATTTATGTCTTCATATGAGCACACATTCCTGTAATGAGATGATTTTTGACAAAGAAGCCAGCCATACACATTGGAGAAGATACACCATCTTCAATAGTGAAGTTGAACTGAGTGGCTATGTGTAGATGAATGAATCTTGGCCCTTATCTCACAGTCTACACAAAACTCCTCAATACCCTGGACCTTTTGTGGGAGAACATTAGGAAATATATGCAAACATTTTGACATAGGGTAGTACTTTTTGAACAGAGTACCCATAGTGCAGACATAAAAACCAGTGTCAAATTGGGAAACATGAAACTAAGAAGAATCTGCACCTTAAGAGTCAGGATCATTTGGGCAAAGAGGCAGCCTACAGAATGGAAAATGTCTTCCTCAGTTGTCACAGGGCCAGTGTCTAGATTATAAAAACTAAAATAAAGATAAACATGATGAAAATAAATGACCAAATAAAAATTGGGGTATTGGACAAAGTGAATTCTCATAAGCTGTCATACAAATAAAAGCACTTTTTAAATTTTATTATCATTAGCCACCTAAAAAATTTAAAAAAATAAATGTATTTTAAGTCCTGTTTTGCTGCAATCAATATGACTAAGTTAAAAATTCAAATGATGGTAAATGCTGATGCAAATGTTGGAAAGTGGGACACTTATTCACACCTGGTTGGAATTCAAATCTATATGCCTACTGTTGAAATTGGTGTGCAAGTTGCTCAAAAAGAAAGTAATAAACCTACCACATGATTTTTTTCTACACCTGTGATCTAGCCTGTGTAATATGGTGTAGCTGTTTTAGAAATGATATTGTGAGTTCAGAAGGGTATGACATAGAAATCAGAACATGCATGAATCAGGATAGCAGATTTGTAGGGATGGTGACTGGAAGCCAGGCAAACGGGCGCCATGTGGGGAGACTCAGACGTCTCTGGGCGGTACTCCTCAGACTGTGAAGGTGTATATTATGCCTTCAAGAATAATCTGGTCTCGTCATCTACCTTTCTTTTTCACTGTAGAAATGTTAACACCTGGGCTGGTTAGTCAGGGAAGTGCTTACTGCACAAGCACAGGGACCAACATTTGACCTCCAAAACCCATGCTTTAAAAAAAAAAAAAAAGTAAGCTTGTGCACACTTGTAGTTCTAGTTCTAGGGAAGTGGAGACAGGCAGATCTCCAGAGCTCGCTGGACAGCTAAACTCGACTAATTGGTGTGCCTCAGGTACTAGAGGGAAAGAAACCCTGCCTCAAGAAACTAGGTGGATGACACCTGAAAAATTATGACACCCAAGGTCCTTTGATTTACATACACACACACAGAGAGACAGAAAGAGAAAGAGATAGAGAGAGAAAGAGATAGAGAGAGACAGAGAGAAAGAGAGATGAGCTACATGCATGCATAGATAAATAAAATGGTGGCTATGGGCTCTAGATGCTTATTAGTGCTCCAAGCATTTCTTTTTCTTTATTGAAGTCATGAACTCTATATGTAACCCTGTCTGGCTTGTAACTGGCTTAAGTAGACTGGACTAGCCTTGAATTCACAGAGATCTGCCAGTCTCTATATCCCACATGCTTGGA